GAAGAAATCGTTGGTGTCGAGGATGCATGAGTGGTTGGCACCAGGAAAGGCATCACCCTTGTAGCTGGCACAGGAGCACATGAGGGAGCTGGAAACGAGTCAGTACTGAATCCAATGAAGGGGTCTGTAGCAAGGACAGCATCGGTGCTGAAGACAGCATCCATGTCAATATGCCCCTCACTACCACAAAGAATGATGGCTGCAACTCTGCTGTCCAAGCCCCGGAGAGTGCAGAATGCTGCAGCCAACCCCACCAGACAGCGCCAACAGTGCAGCAGAAGACAACGATGTAGAAGGCACAGCAACTGACAGCCCCTGAACTCTAGGGGAATCAGGAATGGAAAGGCAGAGCAGGTCTGACGCTGCCCAATATGCCAATGGTATGGAGATGGTTGAAGGAAAAGGCCAGGCAGGGACCATCGAATCGTGGAAGTAAATGCATGGCTATGCAAGTGGTGTGAGCAAGAGGGCTTTGGCTTCTTTGACAACAAGCTGATTTTCCAGGAATGAGGATTACTGTGCTAGGATGAGCTCCATCTATCAAATACTGGGAAGAGCATCTTTGGACATTGTCTGGCTAACTTGATAAGGAGAGCTTTAAACTAGGTCTTATGGGGGATGGTGACAAAAATACAGGCGATGCACATCTAGGCTCAAGTAACAAAGAAAAGGGGAAGCGGCTAATTTCAGCAGAAGGATCTAGAAATCACAACTGCATTAAAAAGGAAAAAAGGAAAAAACAGGGCAATCCGCAAAATATCTTTCCTGCCTGTTTGCAAATGCAAGGAGTATGGACAACAGTCAGGATGAACTGGAAGTCATGGTATATGAAGAAAATTATGACTTAATTGGCATCATAGAGACTTGATGGGACAACTTGCACAATTGGCGTACCAGCATTGAGGGCTATTGTTTGTTCCAAAAGGATAGGTATGGGAAAAAAGGAGGTGGCGTTGTGCTGTACGTCAAGAATGTATACACTAGTTCTCAGATCCAAGGGGACATGAGCAACAGACCCACTGAGAGTTTCTGGGTGAGGAGAACAAGGGAAAAGAACAGTAGCAATGTTATAGTGAGGGTCCATTATAGACCACCAAATCAGGAAGAGGAAGTGGATGAGTCATTCTACAAGTAGATAAGATTAGCTAACTCACATGAGCTAGTAGTAATGGGGGATTTTAACTTCCCTGATATCTGCTGGAAGACTATTGCAGCAAAACATAATACGTCCTTCAAATTCTTAGCGTGTGTAGGGGACAGCTTTCTGATTCAGAAAGTTGAGGAAACAACTAGGGGGTCTCCATTTTGGATCTGGTTTTGACCAACAGGGATGAATTAGTTGAGATCATGAAGGTGGTTGGGAACTTGGGAGAAAGTGATCATGATCTGATAAAATTCAAGATTCTATGGAAAGGAGGATGTGAGAACAGCAAAACAAGGACACTGGACCTCAGAGTTGAAATCTGCCTTTGACTCAGAGAAATAATAGGCAAGGTCACCTGGAAAGACCAATTAGGAAGAAAAGAAGTCAAAGGGGGCTGGCAGTTCTTAAAAGATGTAATACTAGAGGCTCAACATCTTGCAGAGGAAACACAAGAAAAGCCACAGGAGGCCAATGTGATTGCACAAGGAGCTTTGTAGATATCTAAACCCCCAAAGAGATAAATACAGGAAATGGAAGGAGGGGCATGGAAGACGATACGAAGGCAAAGCTGCTCAATGCCTACTTTGCGTCAGTTTTCTCACAAAAGAATAATGTGTGACCAGACGATTAGCAAAAGTTACCACAAACAATGAAGAGGAAGGGATGCAGATTGGGATGAGTAAAGGACATGTCAGAGATCTTCTGACCAATTTGAATGAATTCAAATCAGCGGGGCCTGATGCTATTAACCCAAGCGTACAGAAGGAATTAGCTGAAGAAATTGTGGAGCCCCTGGCAATAATATTTACAAACTCATGGATGACAGGAGAGGTCCTAGAAGACTGGAGAAGGGCTAACGTTGTGCCCATCTTTTAAAAAGGGGGGAAAGGAGGAGCCAGGGAACTACAGACCAGTCAATCTGACTTTGATACCTGGGAAGCTACAAGAGCCATGTATAAAACATTCCATTTGTGAATACCTGAAAGACAGAGGGGCGATCACCAGCAGCCAGCATTGATTTACCAAGAACAAATCATGCCAAACAAGCTTGAGTTCCTTCTTTGACAGGGTAACTGGTTTGGTGAATAGGGGGAATGCAGTGGACATAATATACCTGGACATCAGCAAGGCTTTGGACACAGTCCCACATGACATTCTGATAAATAAGCTGGAGAAAAGCAGGCTCGACAGAACTACCGTTAAGTGGATACATGATTAGTTAAACAACTGCAAACAAAGAGTCACTATTAATGGAATGATGTGGGGTTGGTGGGAGGTCTCAACTGGGGTTCTACAGGGATCTGGTCTGGGTCTGGTGTTGTTAACATCTTTATTAATGACCTAGATGCAGATCTAGAGAGCAGACTGATCAAGTTTGCAGATGACACAAAGCTGGCGGGGGTGGGGGGAGGTTGCCGATACTTTGGAGGATAGATCTTAAAATTCAGAGGGACTGTAGGGGGCCAGGGTGGCTGCCCTCCGAACCTGAGGGTAAAGGGCCTTTCCCTCAGCCTGAGTGGGCGGGGCCAGCCCAAGCTTGCTCCACCCCCCGGAAGGGGAGGGGTGGAACAGGAAGTATAAAGGGCGGGGCCCTTAGCTCAGTTGGAGCAGCACCAGGGAGGGAGGCAGACGCAGACCGTGGGCTACTCCCTTCAGACCCTGCTGCCACGCCAGGGGAGGCCCTGGACCAGTGGAGACCTCACCTGGAGGACGGACTGGGGCTGCCAGGACTGCCCGCGGCCGAGTACCCAGAGGAACTGGAGGAGCCGGAGGGGGAGCTGGAGCTGCCAGCAGCCGAGTACCCAGAGGAGCTGGAGGAGCCTGAGCGGGAGCTGGAGCTGCCAGCAGCGGACTACCCCGACGCACCGGCGGGACCAGAGGGATTCGGACGAGCAATCGGGTAGGAAGTAGCCCAGGGACAGAGCTGCACAGCGGTGAGTCTGTATTGCGGAAGGACGCCGCTGTTCCTGTGGCGGGCCCCTCGTCCTGCCACTGTCAGGGCCCTGGGCTGGAATGCAGTGGTGTAGGGTGGGCCTGCGTTCCCCTACCCGGCCGAGCCACG